TATAATTACAAAGCATGCATAACAACTAATCTCCATTGTTACATTTTTATAACTTGTGTACAAAAATAGACTTTAAGGTGTATGTGTCATGAGCCCTGTGGCGCTGTCAGAATTGGTCATGGCAGCCTCTGATGGCGGAGGAATAAACAGGGGGTGAGCTGTGGGAATCTGGGTTGGAGGAGAGAGGATCTCCCCTTTCCATCCTGACTACAGTCCCTTTGGAAGGGGGAGTAGGAGGAGCAGGTAGCATCAGCCAAGAAGAAGAAGAAGAAGAGTTTGAATTTGATATCCCGCTTTATCACTACACAAAGGAGTCTCAAAGCGGCTCACAATCTCCTTTCCCTTCCTCCCCCACAACAAACACTCTGTGAGGTGAGTGGGGCTGAGAGACTTCAGAGAAGTGTGACTGGCCCAAGGTCACCCAGCAGCTGCATGTGGAGGAGCAGGGAATCAAACCCGGTTCCCCAGATTACAAGTCTACCACTCTTAACCACTACACCACACTGGCTCTCGGTCAGTCTGGGGGGTCTGGGGAGCACTTTGATCAGCTGGGGTGGGAGACTGAATAGGAGGTAGCAGCAAATGAATAGAAGTCTCAGTCTTGTCACCTAGAACCAGGTGCTGGCTTTGCACATGGGAGCAGACTCACCCATCTCAATGGAGCATGCATGCACAATCTTGATGTTCCAAGAAGGTATGAGGGGCCTTGAGAGTGAGTGCACTACTCTCTGTCTTTAAAAGCTGATGGGAGGGGTGGAGAAACTTGTTGGAACATCTTGGTTGCTTCCAATCAGTTCTCAACCTCTTGCCCCGCTTCTGAATTCCTGAATCATGGCACAGAGTAGACTGTCTGAAAGCTTGCCAGGAGCAGACTGACACCGGCTTAGCAGAGACCTGAAAATGATATCCCAGCCTCTGCAAGGATACAGTCCCTGTGAGAATGCAGTTTATCCAGGCAACCAGAGACTCTGCCTGGCCAGCACACCTATAGATATAATAGACATCAACCAGTGACCAACTGCTCCCTGTGACCACCCAGCTCCCAGCAAGCAAAACTTAACACAGGAAAGGAAAGGGCCCCCTGAAGCCACCTTCACATTCTGTGAAGTCTAACATTAACATGAGACCTCCTTGGCCAAAGCAGCTTTGCTCATGATACCATAGATGGGCACTGGTAAAAAGACCAAGTGATATCAAGTGTGGTACTTACTATCAAGGAAGTCTTAGTTCTCCTTTGAAGATATAGTATCTATATACTAAAGAACAGTATCTAAGGATTGGGAGGTTTCTGGCTCACTTCATGTTTTTGAGTGAATCTACTCATTTTGCCTTGGAGACATGCATGTATGGAATGTATATCTGCAGATCAATGAACCAATCTCTGCATGGAGCTGTACTGAGAACTGGTCTGCCTCTTTCTTTCTTAAGGGCATCTACATGAGCAACCATATCCCTCTCTCAATACAATTCCTAATCAGGGCTTGTTCAGCAGAGAATGGGAATTTGTGGTTCTCCAGTTGTTGCTGGACTCGTGACAGCAATCTCCCAATCATCTTTGGTCCAATAATTTCTGAGGGGTGTATCCCACTGCTCAGCCCACCTCCCCTCCACTGTCACCACCATAAAAGGGGTTAATTATTTCCACAAGGCAGCCCCTTATCAATTAGACTCCTTGAAGCCTCTTAAGGTAGCATAGTATTATAGCTTCTAAGGGTAAGGGTGTTCTAAGTGTAAGGGTATTAAAATAAGAAGAGACCACAACAGGTGTGTTTGTGTGTGTGTGGAGTTTTTGAGAGGGGAAATGAAATTCTAAAGTTACAGAAAATTTGTATATGCCCTTTGGAGCAAATAAAGCAAATTAAAACACCATCCAGGTTCCATGCACTCAGCAGTACCTCAGTTCACCAGGATCTTGGAAGAATCATACTCTTGAGTAGCAGCCCTTTGTTTGCCGGGTTTACTAAGCTTTTCCTTATCTCATCCAGTTCCACCTTGAATTAAAAAAAAGCTTCCAGACTGTCTGTCTGCGGATATGGGGGGGGGGAACCACCCTCCTTGCTAATCACAGGCTTTGCTCAATGGGCCACAGGAAGTCCCTCAGAGAAGGAACTTGCCCAACCCAACATATGCCATGCTGTTTTTACTGCCTTGCTATAACACCAAATGAACAAACAGTAAACATATGCACCCTCATAATACAGTGCAGCAGTCCATACTTCAGAGTCTAGAACAATGAAGTCCAATGATCAAGGATGGTGGGAGATGTGGTCCAGTAATCTCTGGAGAGCAGCAGGTTTCTCACCCTTGTTGTACAGAAACAAGACCAAATAATACAGAATCCGAAAATCTGGGAAGACATTAGAAGAAAGACAATTTCAGATGCCTCTGATATCAAGAGAAATGGTATAAAAGTTGTAAAACCAGGAGGAACTAACAGACTGGTTTCCACCCACACTTTACCTGATGGAATTTCCATGAAGAGGAAACTTATGTTCAACTTCTCATCAAGGATGTTGATTTCCCTTTATAATGAAGGTAAATTATGGAACACTATTTTATTCTAGAATCCTGGAAGAGGAGAATGTAATACCCCATAAGAACTTGGCAGACGATGAAGAAAAGGAATTACCATAATGCTAAGAAAACTGCACCAATTTATTCTGTAAAGCCAAAGATGAAGAAATGAAATATCATTCACAGTAATGATTACAAGTTCAGGATCCTGCAATTTCTCATGATTAAAGGCATGAAATTTCAGTTGACATTTACTATGCCATCATTTACTCATCAGCTACCTGTATTGTCCCCTGGAGAAAGCCAGCACTGTCTAAAAGAAAATCAAAGAAGTTTGTTCTTTTCTTTTCAATTGCTCCCCATGAAGGCAAATGTCCTTTATTGCAACACCTAATTTCTTCCTTTCCTGTTCTGATACACAATGGGAATTGAAAATAACATAGAAATTGTGACAGAATAATTAGCATCTACAATAAATTTTCTCGCAGTTAAACTACAAAGTTAAAATTGTTACTGGGCTGGCCTAATTCTTGTTTAAACAGAATGGCACACTAATAAGCTGAAGATAAACACCAGTGTTTGAATGGAAATATTTTAGTGTACCGAAAGATGTGTTCCCATTTTCGTAATGATATTCCATGGCATTCTGGGGAGCTTTGGACTATGAAGTAAGCAGGACAAAGACTGGACCATAAGTGATGCAAGTCTCACACTAAAGCTGACTGAACACTGGTTAGCACATATAATCGTGCCTGCCATGTGGCAAAGTGAACTGTGAAGGTCAATTTTTTCAGCTTGCATTGCATCTTCTAGTAGCCAACCAGCAGAGTTATTTCAGGTGGTCTGGAGGGGACCTCTGTGGGGAAGAGGCCTCCGAATCATTTGAGGACCTTCTCTGGCCAGCTTGCTGCACACTTTGAAGATAAGGTCTATCGACTTTGGAATGACTTTCACTATGCATTTGTTGCAGTTCCAGATAAAGTACCTAATACCAGAGCCAGTGATGTGTTTCAACTTAACAGGCAGCTGATGTGGGCAAGGTGCTGGTGGCTATGCCACACATTCTCTTGACCCCTCTCTCTCTTGGCTTCTTAAATCTAGCAGAGTTTGACTAGTTGGGTCTGAAGTATGGTTAACACTTAAATGTATGAGGGGTTGACCTGCTGCCTTGAAAGAAGCAGTGATGTGACCACTCACTAAGAAAGCAGCCCAGAATCCCTTGCACTGGAATAGTCAAAAATGCCCTATTCTTGAGGAAGGTGATGGAGAGAATTCTGGTGGAGTAGCTGCATTTATTCTTGGATGACACAGATTATTCAGATCCATTTCAATCTGGACTCAGGCCTGCCCAATGTGGGAGTCATAAAGCCACGGTAAAGGCTTGTAATATTGCAGGGTGCCCCCTGACCTCGGCTGACCAGCACTCTGAGCTTTACAATGTAATGGAATGTATTGCAGTTGTGTTTCCTCTGGGCAGTGATTGACCTTATATGGTGTTGGGGGCAATCAAAGCCTTGACCAGATGAGGTAACGTGAGACACTGGAAAACAGCCATGCGGCTGGAGAGAGACAAAGGAATAAAGAAGTTTGCAGGAGGAGGAGAGGGAAGTTCGAGAGGAGCTGCTCCTACCATCATGAAAATATTGCTGGCTCTCTGTGTCATTATTTTATGCTAAACTTCGCCATTTGTACGGCTGGCTCCGACAAGTGGTGCCCCGTGTGAGGCTGAATAAAAGAATACGTCTGAGGACTAAGAGGATTTTAAAAGAAAACCGTGTGAGGCAACTTAAAGAAAACAGTCTGAGGCAGACTGAGGCTTTTAAAAGGAAACCGTGTGAGGTTTATCGATCCTAGCAAAGGATATCATCGGCTCACTACGCCCGGAAAGGGCTTCAAGCGCTAATCATCTTAAAAAGATCCCGGTGAGTTCCGATCCCTTATTTTATATTGATTTTAGAAAAATGGGCAGCTCTTTGTCTGCTCCCCAACAGAAATTTTTAAAAGACTTAAAATTTCTCCTCTCCAACGAATTGGAAGTTCCGGAGGGTGATTTAATACAGCTCATTCTGGCTATCAAAGAGCATTCCCCCTGGTTTCCTGCAGATGGGACTTGGGAATTAAAACTTTGGGACAAGATCGGGGAACATTTTCATGGGCACCCCAGCATAAGTGTTTGGATTTTAAATGCATGGTGCAAGGTTCGTTACGCCATGGACTCTTTATCACCAAAAAATATATCCATGGCTGCATTGCCAACACAACCTTCAGCTTCTTTAATTCAGCCTGCTGTGTTAGAATCTGTTCCAATACTTGCTTTGCCAGCAGCTCCAGACCCCAAACCTCCAGACTACAGTTCCTCACCAGAGGACCCAATCCTGCAAAAATACAGTGGTCTGGCTGGCAATGATCCTAATCTTTCAGCGGCAGAACCAGAACCAGAACCTTTTCAACGTGCAGTCCTTGCCTCTTCCTTAATTCAGGATACTATGGCATTCCCTGTTATTGTGCCCCCTGCTGGTGCCCCGGCAGGCACCCAAGCCCAACACCAACCTTTTGACTTTAAGATCTTGAGAGAGCTGCAACAGTCAGTAAAGGCCAATGGACTCCAAGCCCCATATACGCAGGCGCTTTTAGAAGCCACATTAGCCCAGCTCTTGGTTCCAGAGGCCCATACAGTGTTGCCCCCATCAGCTGGTGTTTTGTTTGCCCACGAATGGGAAACTGCCTGCCGTGCTTATGCTCCAGCCTTGTTACAACAAGTCAGAGGAAATAATCCAAATGTTACCCTCGCAGACGTCTTAGATGCCATGTTGGGGCGTGGTCCCTTCGCTCAAGCTTCAGTGCAAACCACACTGCTGCAAATCTTATTGAGGGACGCTGCTCTTGCTGCTAAACAAGCAATGAGAAAAATCCCTGAACCCAGTATTCAATCAAGGTGGGGTTCAATCAGGCAAGAGGCAAGAGAATCATATTCTTCCTTTATGGACAGGCTGCTTACAGCAGTGAGTCGCCAAATTGAAAATCCTGAAGCCAAACAAATAATCATCAAACAATTGGCCTTTGAAAATGCCAATGAGGATTGTAAGGTTGCGTTACGACCGATAATACACAATCCTGCCACAGACACAGCAGCCATGCTTCGCATTTGTCAGTCTGTTGGAACAGCCAGCCACAAGGCTTATCTGCTGGCAGCAGCGCTAAATGAAAACCAGCCTGTAGCCACCGATACAACTTGTTTCCAGTGTGGCAAACCAGGATCCCCGATACCCCAGGGGGTAGAACAGTGGCCTCTACCAAAGAAAAATCCGCAGCAGCGGCACCAGCTATCTCTGACCAGCTTATTTCTGAACAATTGACTTTCGGCCACATTGAACCATCTTCATCCCACTGGCTCCAGCAGACAGGGAACGGTTTGCTTTACATTGCCAGTATATAACAATTCGCAGCCCACCCAGCGATATCAGTGGGTTGTCCTGCCTCAAGGCATGCGGAACTCCCCTACACTTTGTCAACATTTTGTGGGTGAAGCATTGAAACCTTTCCGCATGTGCCACCTAGAGGTGCTGCACACGAGCTGCATCTGGCAGTGTTTGCCTTCCTAACCATTTGCCTTGCCATCCTTTGCTGCACCGTTATACAAGGAAGAGAAGCAGACGACCAGTCCAGTTGAAACCACCTTATCGGCTGGCAAGCAGCTGTCGCCTGAATCCTACTCTGGCTGGCAGTATCCACGGCTCAGCCACTTTCAAACTAGAAGAACAGCGTTGTTGAATAAGACTTTTAGGGGAGAAAATTATCATAAGATATGGAGGGATAATATTTTTGTACAAGATATGATTATGTTTGCCAGTTTATTGCATGCTTCTAAATGTTGGTTGTGTATGCCAGTCATTCAGGCATAATGCTTCATGGTGTGCCTGTCAATGAATCTTTTCAATTTACTAATATTATATCCCCTAAGCCTCCAGTACAATTGACCCTCCATGAGCCTGCCCCCATTATTTTCAAATTAAGGAGGGGAAAGAATCATGGGGCATATATCCAAACTGCAATATACATTGAATTTCACTTTTAATAGCTCTTGTTCTCTTACAGGAATATACCGTGACAAATCTCAGTGCTATAGGAGTGACACCAGTGCATGGCTAATAAACTAAAAGGAAGCCTACCATGCAGCTTGAAATCAGAATTCTTATATTCTTGGCTTCCGGATTTTAGTGATCATTATAGTAGTTATTGATTTTAGTGATCATTATAGTAGTTATTGATTTTAGTGATCATTATAGTAGTTATTTGCATTATTTTGTGTTGCTGTATCCAATGTATTCTTTCTATAATCTCTATATGTACTGCATGGTTCTCCAGTCCGCGGCCCGCTTCCGGTGTCACAAGAGTCGCTTATCGCGTATTGACTCTGATATAAAATAAAGAAAGAGGGCATGTGGGAGTCATAAAGCCACGGTAAAGGCTTGTAATATTGCAGGGTGCCCCCTGACCTCGGCTGACCAGCACTCTGAGCTTTACAATGTAATGGAATGTATTGCAGTTGTGTTTCCTCTGGGCAGTGATTGACCTTATATGGTGTTGGGGGCAATAAAAGCCTTGACCGGATGAGGTAACGTGAGACACTGGAAAACAGCCATGCGGCTGGAGAGAGACAAAGGAATAAAGAAGTTTGCAGGAGGAGGAGAGGGAAGTTCGAGAGGAGCTGCTCCTACCATCATGAAAATATTGCTGGCTCTCTGTGTCATTATTTTATGCTAAACTTCGCCATTTGTACGGCTGGCTCCGACAGCCCATGGGACTGAGTCAGCCTTGGTTGCCTGGATGGATTACCTTGACAGACAGTGGGACAGGAAAAGTGTCATCTTACTCCTGCTTCTCGATGTCTTCTTTCAACACCATTGGCCATGGTAGGCTCCTGAATCAACTCCATGGAATGGGAGTTGGGGGAACTGTGTTACAGTGGTTCTAGGTCTACCTAGGGGCCAAGCCCAGAAAGTAGCACTGGGAGAGTGCTTTTCAGACACCAGGCAGTTATACTATGGGTGTCCTCCAATGCTATTTCATATCGACATGCAGCTATGCTCATGTGGAGTTTGGAGGCAAGGTGCCATCAGCATACCGATGACAGCTCTATTTCTCCATAACATGACTGGATGGGATGAATGATGGAAATTAAGATGACCTTGAACCCTGGTGAGATGGAGGCACTGTGGATGAATGGGTCCCATGTCCAATAAATTGGTCAAGTACTTAAATACATATATTTTTTATAAAATATGTAGTTAAATAAATGTTTTTGCATGGATTGATGGGGAAATGGAATGGAATGGTGTAGACATACAAATTAACGCATATTGGCATAGAACAGAAGTAGACTAATCCATCCATTCCAAAGCATGCTGGACCTTCATGCCTTCCATCAATGTGCCTGAGTTCTGCTCTAGGGCACTGTACTTTCACTTTCAGTTTGACAGTTGTCAGCGGGACTTCCGGTGCATGGATTTTCTCTCTAAGTCTATTGTGACAAGTTGCCTGTTGGTTATGAGTCCTTGGTGTGATCTCTTCTTCATGATACAATAGAGATGAAAGAGTTGCTTCAGGGGAGGACAAGGCCTCTCCTATCTTTTTCTATGCGCCATAAATTCTCACAGAGTTTGCCTGCTCGACGTGTTATTCAGATTTCAGATGTTTCCACAGAAGAGTGCTCAAAATTCTGTAAGAGCAATTAACACATCTGCTGTCTTCTTTTTTTAAAATCCCACCTTGCATTTGAAAGCACATATTTTTATTGATGCCTTTTGCAAGCTGTATTTTGAAGTTTTGCTGAAGCATGAGGCTGGACATTTTTTATAACCACTGGGATTTCTAAACTTCTCTGTTCATTTCTCAGGTGACAACTGAACAGCCCATTTGATTGTGCCACAAAATAGACCTCATTTTGTTCACTTCAGTCTTTCACTTTTAGTTTGGTTATGAAAGTCATTAGAATATGCTGGCTTATAAAAGCTGTATTCTCTTTTGTGTATGCAGCACTATTGTTTTGAAGTTGGTACAAGCCTGTTTGAAAACATCAGTTTCCATAGGAACAGCTTTTTTTCCCAGCTAAATCTTACACAGAGAAGTATGTCATAAATAATTGGTCTTGCCCCCAGGGAACTGTTAAACACCCAAAGAAAATGCAAGGAGAGAAGCACGGTGGGGGGGGGGGGAGAGAAAAAGAGAAAAGGTGTTTGAGATTACTATATTTTAGATAAAAAATTCACCAATACAGAAAATTCATTTTTTAAAAAACAGTGTAATAAATAACTATAGGAAATAAAGTTATAGGGTCCACTCAATATGGATTTTTGAAATGGCAATTTGTCATACCCCCCCTCACCTTTGGCATATCTAGTTTATAAAAATTATATGGTGCACAAAATACTAGCAATTAAAGTGCTGTACTATGCTTTAAATGTATTTTAGCTTTTTTATGTCCACTTTCCTGTTCTGCAGAAAATTAAATTACAGTTTAAGTGGCTTTTAAGCACATATTGAAATGTAAATGAAATATTGTCCAAGGTTCTGGAAAGAAACCCTTTTACTGCCATCAACACAAAGGTCTAAGGGAAAAATATTGCCAGGTGCAAACAGGTACTCAAAAACTCATCTGGGGTGATAAATGTAGCTGACCTTATTAGCTTGTTTGAGCTCAAAAATTAAGTGGGGTTGAACTGAGTGAAAACCAAGAGGGTAGAATTTGATTACTGTTGAATAAACAAGCAAAACAAAACCGCAAACCAAATTAAAAGTCTACAACTAGAAAGTGTGCCTTTTGATTTATGGGCGTGTGGTGATAAATAGTCCATCAAATGTTTGCATTCATAGTGCAGAACTCAAGTTAAAATGGAAAAAGAAAGAACATATAGGCATAAGGTCTGAGTGAAAATCCCCCCCACCCCGTTCATTATGTTCATTGTGGGTAGAAAAATTGGTGAGCATTTTGATGAATATATGTGTGGGTTGTTGTTTTTAAAAAAATTCTAGAGCAGATCAAATGCTTCCGGGAGTTAAGGCTGTTGTTTTACCACACGAAGTCCTGGAATTGCCACTGGCAGACTACCTGTCACAAGGTGGGGATGAGCAAACTTGTGTTCCACCAGCCATAAGGGTCTTTAATGCGAAATCTGTTCCCCAACTTCTATATGCTTCAAATGTCTAGTACAATGGTTTATGCACTAAGCTAGGTAGGCTCCAGAAAAAACTGATACTTCTGCATAATAACCACTGTTCATGTTATGTCTTCATCTCCTTCAAAACAACAACAAAATTGTGCCTTATTCCCATGATGGAAATCTCAGTCCAATCTGATGGTAACCTTAAATCAGAACATTAAAGTTGTTCCCCTCCAACACATTCCACCATGAATGATGTGAAAGAGTAGCTCTAGGAGAAAGGGCCAGCTGGACAGAGAGAGAATGGGGCTGATTCTGGCACATAAGTAGCATGACCAAAAGGACAAAGAAGATCATGTGATGTGATTCATATATTTGAAAAAAGAAAAAATTAAAGTTGGAAAGACCTAAAATATCACCTACTCCAACTCCCTGCTGATGCAAAAAGGAAAAGGGATACTACAGCATCCCTGGTAGATGGCCATCAAGCGTTTGGTTAAAAACCTCTAATTCAAAGAGAAACTCAAACTGCCACATTCTGAGCCAATCTGTTCTAGTGTCAAAACAGATTGCAGCAACAGAAAATCCTAATGTTCAGTCAAAATACCTTTTCTTCTAATATTACCACATTGGTTCAGATCCTATACTTTGGAGCAACAGAAAACAAAAGTGCTCCATCAAATACTTGAACATGACTATCACATCACCTCTTGTCTCTTCTTCAAACTAAAGTTACAAGCTCTTTCATCCTTTTCTCATAGGACTTGATACTCTGGACTTTATCTCCAGTTTTGTTGTCCTTCTCTAGACACATTCCAGTTTATCAATATTCTTCTGGACACAGTATTCCTGGTGAGATCTGGGAGTAGGTGGGGACACAAAATAGAACTCTTACTTCTTGTGACTCAGACACTATACTTCTGTTGATGTAGCCTAATACAGTTGTACCTTAGAAGTCGAACAGAACCCATTCTGGAAGTCCATTTGACTACCAAAACATTCGGAAACCAATGTGCGGCTTCTGATAGGCTGCAGGAAGCTCCTGCAGCCAACAGGAAGCTGTGGAAACCCTGTCGGACATTCGGGTTCCAAAGAATGTTCGCAAACCAGAACACTCACTTCCAGGTTTGCGGCGTTCGGGAGGCAAAACGGCCGAGTACCAAGGCATTTGGGATCCAAGGTACGACTGTATTTAG